TTGAGTTCTCCTGCTATGCATAGATTACTGTTAGTTTTGTTTAAAAAGATGGAAATTGAAATAACTTCTTGTGAGGAAATTTGTATTTTTCCCTAAGAATAAGTAGCTTTAATAGAAACTAATTGGCCTGGAAAAGCCAATTATAGTGCCCATACTGCTTTATATTGAACTTGCTGGCCACCATTGCATTTCCAATTCACTATATAAATCTTCTATCATCAAGTAGATGATAGATACTCATTGACCATGGGTAATATGACAAGAGGAGAACTTCTTCTAATGAAATTCCTCCAGAATCCATGTGTTATTGTTTAACTTGCAACTGAAATGGCAGATAGGACAATTCCACTTTTGGAGCTAAAGAAATCTGGAGGCAAGTGGTTTAAAATTATTCAAAATAAGTATGCGCAGTATGTGGACTTTGGAAACAATTTTATCTTTTGGTTTACAATTGATTCTTTTGCAATTTGAGTTAAAATATTTCTGAAGTTGTATAACATACATAAATATTACTTTTAAAAAGGAATGGGATTCAAACAAAGGAAAGTGAATAGGTCCATCAGTTTGTTAAAAAATGCAGCTATTTTTTCTTCACTTGTTTTGCTTTTGATGATGATAACAGCAGAACATCATCAAGTAACCCTGAAGGATTTTGACCATGTTTATATCTAATCTTTTTTTTTTGGTTTATGATTTGTTATTCTATAAAATATGTGGTGTAAGACTTGTATTGTAGAAGGTTCAATAGGTGTATAATCTATATAATATGTGATAGGGTGGGAAATGGTCTAAAAACAAATAATATGCATCTTAAGGTTAAAAGATGCAGAAGTGGAGGAAGACAATAAATAAAATGGATGAATGCAATAAAAGAATAGTAGAATATCATTAGAAAAATAAAACTTGTTGCTGATGACATGAAAAATGATTGTTTAGTTATTGGTTTTTAGCAACAAACCTCTGAGCTGATTCACAGATAATTTTGTCTGCTTTCATAGTGTACTGGCTGCTCATTAGAATTATCTTACCAAAAAGATTCAATTTGACGAAAGGGTTAAGTGGACCATGCAATTGCTCCTCACCCCCTTGAAGGCACTCTAGAATGCTGACGTTTATCTGGATTTTTAATTGGAAAACACCCAGCCACCCTATACTTCAGTTTTCAACTTCAGCACCACAGACCCCTGGACAGCGATGTCCATTTCTTGGCGTGTTGCAGCTTAAATCGGAGGAAGTTGAGAGGAGGTAGAAGGATCAGAAAGATCTTTCCGCGTTGGCGTAACCCAGTTGTTCTGGTTATTCTTTTCCTCAAGACAGGCCAACACAACCTTGCAGCGGATCCCACAACAGAGTCATTAGATCGCTGCGGGATGCGTGAGCGCGTTGGGGTGGGGGAGAGCATGGGGATTGTAAGCAAGCCCCGTCAGCTTTCTGACTCCCCGACTAGCTGCTGACTCCAGCCTCCCAGTCTGCGGAAGAAGCTGGTTGGGGGGATGTCTAGATATCATCTGGCATCTTTCGAGAAAAGAAAGGCTATATCCACCATATAGAGAACAGTAGACATTCTAGCTCTCTAGACCAAGAATCCCAATCTTCGGGTATATGACAGTGTTGCACAATTCGTTCATTTGAGTCATGCGTCAGAATGGTAAGTAGCGATTGCTCCGCGACCACCACCATCACTCCCCGTGGGTTTATTTCTATTTGGAGAGGGACTCTAAGGATGAAGGGAAGAGGCGAGCCATAGACTTTATGCCGGTATATGCCAGTTCAGTTTTGTTACCTTTCTAGGAGAGAAGGACGGGTGGAAACTCGATCCTTACAGCTGTCACTCCAGAACAGCTTTATTAACTTTAGAGGGAAATGCTTTCCGATCAATTTCTTGGAGCATCCTAAACTGATGCCTCTTTGTCAAGGCTGTCTCCGATTAAGTGGTTTGCGATCCCATTCCAGTGGTCTCTGGAGGGGCCAATGCAGAGTTGTTTCTCCACCCACACCCCACTTCTGCCCAATCTCCAATAAACTCAGAGGAATGCTGCTGATGTCAAAGAGAAGGCGTAGGGTCAACCTTTTTAGATTTAGGAGAGAAAAAAATGTAAGTACTACGGGTAGTAGAAGCTTCTGCTCACGGGAAGTGAAGTCAAAGAAATATTCCCCATTCTTTTTGGAGATGACATTTTGCCCCTCTGCCCCCCCCCCCTCCCCGCCGCAGTTCGAAGGTTTTGTTCGCTGTCCGGGTTGCTCGCATCAAATTCCGAGTAGGTGGAAAGCAGGGAAATTATTTGTTCGGCGTGCTGCTCCCGATGAAGTACGCGTTAGTCTGGTTTGGGGGCTATATGGTTAACGTGTCTGAAAGAGAGTAGCTGTGCCGTGGGACGTTGGATATTAAGGCTGAATTCCTAAACACAGCTTTACTGTGAGCTGGTTGAAATTCGCGGCTGGTTGAAATTCTTGATAATGAGAGTCGTCCCTCCGAACGTTTAATATTGTTATCGCCTCCTCGGGGAAGGCGATGGAGAAGCGCAAATAAGCAAGCAGGGTGGAAATAATCGTTTCCCTTTCTCATTACGTGTCAAGGTTATAAAGTCTGAGAAAGGCTGATGCTAAGGTTTACGACTTTTAGCTATCTCTAGAGGGCGTCCATGGTATTAAGGAGCATATTTACCTATCCATCTTTAAAACAGCAACAAAAGGAGGAGCTCATTTCACGATAAAGTGCTTGATTGGATACCTAGTGTCCTTCAGAGCTTTTAAATTACAATTCTCTCCAGAAACCTTTCTTCGGATAAAAGGGATTGTAGTCTAACTCGTCTAAATGGCTCTGTATCTCTGGGATATTGTGATCAGATACTTTTTATATGAATCATATAAGAGGTGGACTATTTGAATGATGAAAGCTGGGTTGATCTTGTATGTCTGACACTTAGTGTTTTCTAATTTTTAAAATAATACTAAAGGAACCAGATAGATGTACAGATAATTTGTTACTAAACAATGAAAAATGAATAGCAAGAGGATAGGTTCAAAGGTTACTGAGGGATCGAAATTGTAGAATGGACCTACACTGATTCATTCAACTAATTGAAAGAACCTATACCTAAAATCAAGTAATATTCTGTAAATTGTGCTACCAATAACATAAATTTTATATTTTGTATGATAACTTCTTATAAGATGAATTTTGTTTCCAAACCAAACAATACTGCCAGGCAACAGATCACAATATAATTAGATAGGACAAGTATTTCAAATATTCCCACTAGATCAATGGAGCAAAAGCATATTTATTTATTTGTTTGTTTGTTTGTTTGTTTGTTTATTATACAGTGGCCTGCAGATGGCTTTTAAGGGTTTTTCTTTATATCCTTCCAATTATTTTTGATATCAAAATTGTAGAAATACTACGGTTAAAAATTTCTATTAAAACAGAAAGACTTGCAGTTTTAAAAGAATGAGTCTAAATTACACTGGGATTTATTTATGTAAGTATGTACTTATGTAAATATGTATTGCTTTCTATTATTAAGATTTAAAATGGCAGTTTATTTTTCAACTGCTGCTTGCTTACGTTCTATATGCTAGATAATTTAAGACTTTAAATCTAATGGTCTTTCTTTAATGCTCTTCCTCTCTGCCCTACTGTGCTTTTAAATGGGAATATATCATATTATTTTCTCTCCAAAGCACGGTAGTCTAGCTCAGCTCTACTATTCAAGTGCTTGTAAAACCAATTACAAAGTAAAGCTTGTTTCAAAGCAGTTCTTGAACTCATAACTGACACAGCTGTATATGGAATTTAATGTAAATGGAATTATACTAGTTTACTCTAAGAAACAAAAATTTTAATTGATGGTATAATTTCCGCAATGATGTCTTGAAGCTAAGAAGTACAGATGCTGTAATGATCCTAATCTAAAATTGATTTTTCCATTGTTTTAAAAATCAAATGTTATATGCCTTCAATTAAATATACTCACTTGTAAAATTGAAAGTTATTTGGTATCATCAATTCCAAATATCAAAAAAATAAAATTATGTATGTTTCTATTTCACACTTATTGTCAGGACCAAAATGGAGCTAGAATTAGTAATATCATAGGTGATAATTTTTAAAACAAAATAAGATTATTATTATTATTATTATTATTATTATTATTATTATTATTATTTGACTAATTTCTTTTCTTTTTTATATTAATTTTATTTAAAAAATACAGTTACAAAGGTAAAACTAATACAAACAAAAATAGAAAGTGCAGAAAAGAAAAATGGAAAAGAAACAATAAGATTATAGTTAACGCAAAAAAATGCACAGACTTTCTCCTTCATCAAACAATTATTTGAGCAACTCCTTTTCAATTATACATAGTATTCAATACTGTTTTGAGAAATGTAATGAAATTATTTGCAACTAGTTTACTACTTCATAATCTATCTATAGCAGGGACACGGTGGTTCAGCGGCTAAGACGCTTATTGATCAGAAAGGTTGGCAGTTCAGTGGTTTGAATCCCTAATGCCGCGTAATGGAGTGAGCTCCCATTACTTGTCCCAGCTTCT